TGTGTGTGTGGTGTGTGTGTGTGCATGATGTATGTGTGTGTGGTGTGTGGTATGTGTGTGTGTGGTGTATGTGTGTGTTATGTGTGTGCGCGTGGTGTGTGTGTGTGGTGTGTATGTGTGTGTGTGTGGTATGTGTGTGTGTGTGTGTGTGTGTCTGGTGTGTGTGGGCACACTCATGTAGGCAGAGGTCAGTGTCAGATGTCTTCCTCTATCACTCTCCATGGTATATTTGAGACAGTCTCCCACTGAACCTGGAGCTCAGTGCTTTGGCTAGACTGGCTGGCCAATGAACCCCTGCGATCCGTTTGTCTCCACCATCACCCATCACTGGGGCTACAGATGGGCACCGCTGCACCCAGTTTTCATGTGGTAGAGATGTGAAGGTGGGACCTCATGCTTGTGCAAGGCGGGACCTCATGCTTGTGCAGCAAGCACTTTGCACACCGAGACATCTTTCCAGCTGTGCATTAAAGACGCACTAGTGCGGAACTTGCCTAATCCACTCAGGTGTGTCAGTGAGGAAATTGTGCTGTTGTGAGAGATTGTTACCTTATGTGTAAACCTCAGCTTAAAAAGTGTTGGTTACATACGTGAGCTCAGTTTCTTGGAAGCCAGATGGAAGAGATCTGGTCCTGGTATTATCAAGATTTCTCTCTTGCCGGGCGTACACGCCTTCAATCCCAGTGCTCCAGAGGCAGAGGAAGGAGGATCTCTCTGAATTCAAGGCCAGCCTGATCTACAGAGAGAGCTCCAGAATAGCCAGGGCTACATAGAAAAACCCCGTCTTGAAAAACCAAAGATTCCTCACTTTAGGGGCTGGAGAGATGGCTCAGCAGTTAGAGCACTTGCTACTCTTGCAGAGGACCTGGGTTCAGATCCAACCAGCCACCACATGGTAGTTTACAACTATCCCTAACTCCAGTTCCAGGAAATCTGTCTTTTCAGGCTTCCTTGGGCACCAGGCATGCATGTGGTACACGTACACACATGCAAACAAATATAAAAGAAAATAAAAATAATAATGGTATCTGTGTAGCTCTGGCTGAGAGCTGGGATTAAAGGCATGTGCTACCACAATTGGCCTGGCAATAGAGCCTTTCTTTAGTGCCTCTGTTTGCTAAGGTTTTGTCCTGGGAAGCCACTGACAGCACCTAATGGCTAAAGGATATATCTAAGGGCAAGGACTCATGCCAAACTGAAGAAAATACAAAAACACAGTTAGTATTTTCACATTGTTTACCGAGTGTATGTGGGAGTTGTGCTTGAGTGCCATGGCGTGTGTGTGTGTGTGTGTGTGTGTGTGTGTGTGTGTGTGTGTGTGGTCAGAGGACCACTTTGCTGTTCTGTTCTTTCATTCCACCATAGGGATTTCTGAGGTTGAAGTCAGGCGATCAGGCTTGGTGGCAAGTACTGAGCTATCTTGCCAGGACCAAGATTGCAATTTTGTGTTAAATTAGGAAGGTAGGAGGGCTCATGGTTATCTCTTGGTCCGTCCGTCTGCCTGTCTTTATGATCGTTTGTTGGCTAGCTTATTTTGTATACAGAAGTAGTAGTTTTGCACAAAGGACTTGAAGCATGTCGAACTAGGACTCATCTAATAAGACAGGCAATTACAAAATAAAAACCAGACCCGGAGAAAATAAGCTGGAAGTGGGAAGCCGAGGAGGAGGAAAGAGCATTGAGGGTAAACATGTAAGAGCTGCTGGATGTTAACCACACATTTGAGTCTGGCAAGCAGAGGCCGAAGAACAGCCACCACGGTGGCCACCCAAGGACATACATCCTTCCAGACAGCCTTTCTAGACCTAGCAGAGCGTTTGTGGACGGCAGCCTGCGTGCCTGTCCATCTTCCTGCTGCGCTGGCTTGTGCAGTTCCTCTGCTGCTTCTTCCTAATGGTGACGTTTTCTTTCAGGACAATGACTCATTCCTCCCAGGATGCTGGACCTCATGGCATCCATGAAGAAGGGAAACTCTATGTTGTGGATTCCATCAATGACTTAAACAAACTCAATCTCTGTCCGACAGAATCGCAACATCTATTCTGTATGTATGGTCCTGAAGTGTTTCAGGCTTCCATGGCCTTGGGACTTCCGGAAAACATCAAGGGCATGGTGGATGTGTTTCCTGTGGTGGGGGCAGGGTGGGCATCAGCAGTCACTGGGCACTAGAAATGTTATTCATCATTAAGCAGTTTTTGTTTTATGTTCCCAGTCTTCAAAGGATTATTGACTTTCTTGGCAAGATCTGAACACTTCAAAATTCCTGACAGAAGCCAGGCATACTGGCTCATGCTTGTAATTCCAGCACTTGGAAGGGTGAGGCAGGAGAATCACAAACTTAAGGTCAGCCTGGGCTATAATAGGTAGTTCCTGGTAGCCTGACTGCATAGTAAGAGTTCGCTCGCTTCATGTCCCATTTTTTCCCTTTATAACTCCTGGGGAAGAACCTACACTGTTGGTCCTGGGCAGGGCAGAGGCCAGTGCTGGCTCCCAGCTTGCTCAGTCCCTTTTGGCTGTTGTACCTCTTGTTGGCCATGGTTGTACCTCTTGGTGACCATGATTAGGTTCGTTACCTTCTTTGCTTCCCAGGGGTCTTGTTTTAATCAGAGATTGCTGAGAAAAATGTTCATCACATTTACTAGTTTATAAAAAAAATCATTAAAATTCTGTTGTGCAAAAAGTCAACTTCATTTTCTACTTACAAATTACAAATTGTCCATTTAAGGTGTTAGAAGGGACATGAGAACAAAATGAAATCTCATGAACACAAAGTGTATCCTGCACCCTAAGTGTTAGAAACATGGCCTCTTAGCCGCCCGCCCCCCCCTCCCCCAGGCCCCAGGTTGTCTAACTTAAATGATGAGAATTCAAACTCAAGTGTTGATGTCCCCTTGCTATTTGCTTCATGCACACTCTGAACTTATTGTCCACTTTACACCCACCATTCCGGCTCTCATCTTTTTTTGGAGTTCTTCCTTTGGTCATTTTAACAGGTTCAGATCCTCATCCACTTACTACAGTAGGCATTGGTGTCTGCCTGTGGTGTGGCTTTGATGAGAAGGCTGAAGCTCTTGAGAGGATGAGACATGGGAGGTACTTGATTAGATAATCAAGCAATACAATGTATGGGACCAATTCAGAGAGGAGGAGAAGATAGAATGTAATCCAGCCGTCTCCCTACCCCAGGGGCTCACCTCTCTTAGTCAACTTTATCTGAGCGTCAGTCGGCACCTGCAAGTTACAAAGTAGCCAGCTAATGAGAGGCAATTCCCCGCACCATGTGCTGAGAAGAGCCTCACTCTTAGAGCAAATCTATCCTGGAAATAGCTTTAAGGAACCAAAATACCACAGTGGCTCTTTTGTCTAATGGATATATAGACCCAAGTGATTATTCTGATAATAACAGCAGTTTCCTGAGAGACGCCACACGGTGTTAGGTCTTCCACACAGGGACAGCATCACTTACCTAGCTCCACTTAGACCACTTAGGAGATGGGTGTAGAGCTCCATCAATTTTCCATTTCTTCTCCAAAGAATAATTCATGCCATTCTACTCCACAGTTAACAGTTTTCAAAGAACCTTTCAAACAGGTCCAAGGACATAGCTCAAGCCCACTCATTCTTTGAATTCTAATGGAAAGGTAAAGATCCAAAATTGCTCTTCCAAAAGCATCCCTAATGCAGAAGTCATTTTCCAGGCTGTCCAGGGAAAAAGAGCACGTCCGTCACATCTCTCTGGGTGGTTCCGAGACTCTGTTGCTTTGTCTCCTATTAGCTTTAGAGGAGAAAATACCAAACACTGGGACAAACGCAGGAAATGGAAACCGCTGTCTGTATTTTGTGGGGCTGCTCCTGGTGCTGACGATCAGCCTAGCTCTGGTGTTCTTCGCCATCTTCCTAATAAGTAAGTACTTATAGGCAGGCTTGTTTGCATTTGTGTGTGCGTCCTTCATAGCTGACGCTTCTGGAGCTAGCTAGTGCTTTTTGGCCATCTATTTCCAGCAAAAGCTTGGGGGAGACCCAGTGTCTTAAGGGCACCTTGTTGCTCCTGGATAGCGTCCTTGTTCACAAGTCCACAGCATGCTTCCCCAGTGCCAGGTCACATCTATGTTTAATATTTAATAAGCTTTTAACTTGTCACTTGGAGCCCCTGCTGACAAATAGTATGCAATTTATCCTACTTAATTTTATTTTTTTTTTTACTCAATACATAGATATTTTTCATTACATTTAGACATAACATACATTTCCATGAGGTTTTGCACACACCCTCATGCTTTCTCATTTGCATATCACCCCAGGGATCAGTTCAGAGTGGCAAGGGTCCAGGCTAATGGCCGAGTCAGTACTGGGGATGTGAGGGCAGGTCACTGCTTCCCTGCTTGGTGCTAGCTTCCGTCCTGCCTGCTCTTGGCCTGGGAGGTACATGTCATACCCTTAATTGGTGACACAGAGGCTTGCCCACATCTGCTCCTCAGCATAGAGACCCCTCAGCAGATTCATGTCAGCCTCCGGTCTCCAGTCTGCTTTGAGTAGCAGGAGAGGAGCTGCCTACCTGCAGAGTGTGTGTGTGTGTGAGTGTGTGTGTGTGTGTGTGTGTGTGTGTGTGTGTGTGTGTGCTCCTCCATCAGAGCCAACACAGTTCTCTCTCAGACGACCTTTTAATACTATTCTCTTCCATACCACAGAAAGTTACAAGGAGTGGGGATAAGGAGGGTCTTTTAAAAATTTTTTATTTCATGTGCACTGGTGTTCTGCCTGCATGGATGTCTGATGTGAAGACATCAGATCACCTGGAACTGGAGTTACAGACAGTTGTGAGCTGCCATGTGGGTGCTGGGAGTTGAACCTGGTCCTCTGGAAGAGCAACGAGTGCTTTCTCCAGCTGCAGAGAGGGTGTTATGTTTAATGCCATCTTGACTAGAAGCGTGGGTCTTCCAGGCTGTCGTTCTTCTGCCCCTTCCTGTTTATGGTATCCGGCAATTTTTTTTTTTTCTTTTTAAGACAGGATCTTACTACATAGCCAAGGTTGGCCTTGCATTTGAGATCTTCCTGTTCCAGCCTCCTGAGATCTGGGATTACAGGCATGTGTCATCATGCCTGCCTTGTCTTCGGCAATTTTAAATAGAACTGTAACTCCATGCATTGTCTTTATTTAAGTTCCTTTAGGAGCAGAGGAGGTGGAGGTGTTATCATGAGAAGATGCCTTTGGGTCTCTGAGGCTGGGTGTGTAAGAAGGGGTATTGTGTGACTTTTCCTGTGGAGACATGAAAAAAATGTCTATTCTCCCCACCCAGACAGACCAAAAGAAATGACTGCATTCCAGCCTAGCTTGGTGAACCGATGAGTTTATTGGGATTATTCATACTCCCATGCATTAAAGGTGTATTAGTTACTTTTCTGTTGCTGTGACAAAACACACAATAAAAGACAACTTAAAGGGAACTTGGGGTTTCTAAAAGATCACTTGGGAGATGCACAGTAGAGCCTCCATCAGTTTTGATCACCCCTCTGGGGTAATATGCAAATGAGACCTAGGATTGTGGGAGCATGCCTTGGACTTGTACCCAGGGACCCTGTCCAGGAGCAATAACGTGCCCTTAAGACACTGAGTTTCAGAGGGATAACAGTCCATCATGCTGGGGAGGCATGGTAGCAAGCCACAGGCATGGTGGCAGGAGCAGGGATCTGAGAGATCACAGCTTTCATCATGAACATGAGAGAGGGAATTGGAGCTGTGATGAAGATCTAAACCCCCAGTGCCCACCCCTTTGCAGAATATTCCTTTACATTGTCTGAAGATGTGTCACTGTCTTTAGTTTTAATAAAGAGCTGAATGGCTAATAGCCAGGCAGGAAGAGGTTAGGTGGGACTTCTGGGGACAGAGAGGACTCAGAGAAGAAGAAAGGTGGGGTCTTGAGATGGACTCAGAGGAGGCTGCATGATCAGTACAGAGAGATGAGATAATGAACCATGTGACAGAATGCAGATTAAGATAAATGGGCTAATTTACATATACGAGTTAGTTAGGAACAGGGCTAAGATATAGACTGAGCTTTAATAATTAATAAGAAGTCTCCATGTTGCTATTTGGGAGCTGGTGGGACAGAGAAAGACTCGTTATACACCTCCAGTGATATATCACCTCTAGTAAGGCTCCACCATCTAAACATCTCCAAACGATCCACCAATGGACCCAGTGTTCAAACATATGAGCCAAACATGAGTACCTCCGAGGCAGTTTGCATCACCAGGGAGCCCACTCCAGCATCTTCTTGAAAAAGCTGCATCCTTGGAACTTCCTGTATAACTTATAGGAAGCTCTGCCAGACACTCTCCTTTTCCTAGGAGTTGTTCACTGGTTCTTCCTCAGAGAGGAGCCTTGTGGGTCCTGTAGCCTGCTGAGTTTCCTGAGCCTTGAATGTTCTGAGCCTTCCTCTTCTATCCAGACAGGAATGTTTCAATTTGGAGGAAATAGGTAGCAGACACTCCACCTCTTCCTCTGGCCCTCCTCCTCATCTTCCTCCTCTCCTGACTGTGGCTGTTGCTGCTCCTCCTTTAAAAACACAAAGGTTTATTTTCTTTATGTATATGTGTGTGCAGATGACCTTGGAGGGTAGAAGTGACCAATTGAATTCCCTGAAATGGTAGTTACAGGTGGGACAACGTGAGCACTGGGAATGGAACTCTGATCTCCTGCTCGAGCAGCAACCACTGAGCCATCTCTCCAGTCCCCTGCCAGTCCCCAAGCTCTTGCTTCTTTACACCCCCTCTTCTGTGATGTTCTATGTGCCTTGGAGGGGGTAAAAGGGCATTTCGTTCACATCTTCCCAGGAGAAGCCATACAACAAGGATGGTGTTTAATTCCACACACCCCGCCCCCCAGCTTATGTCCTTTTCCACTTAGAAGCAGTCAGGCGAGTTATCCTTGCGATAATGTAAACTTGTAGCTAGCTATTGACGTGGGGAGGGTCAGCAATTGAACCCACAGGGCCAAAAGAGATAGTTTATTCTTATTCTGAAATGTTAATCCAACATAAATGAGAGATCTGCCTGTTGTCCTGCCATACCTAACTGCAGGCAATGACCCAGTTAAACTAGCCAGATATTTTAGCTATGTCTATAGACAACCAAGCAACCCAAAGGAAAACTCTCGTCTTCAGGATAAGAGGAAGAACAAGAGAAGTAACAAGTGTTATAGATGAGGTATGCAGTGCTAGGTACCATGCGCTGAATACTAGAGGGCTGTCTGTCAAATACCTTCCAACAACTGTGTAGTCCAGAATCTAAAAAACATTTTTTTTTAAAATAATACTGAGGAGTGAACCTAGAACTCTGTGCATTATAGGCAACTTTTCTACCGCAAAACTGGATTGCTAGCACTCTCTTTGTTTTTCATGTTGAGACTCAATAGATTGCCTTAAACTCACTGAGTAGCCCAGTTAGGTTGATGAACTTGTTCCTCCTGCCGCAATTTCTGAGTAGTTGGATTTACAGGATGGCATTACCATGCCTGGCTAGGTCCTATCATTATCTCTAGTTTACTGTTGATGAAACTGAAGCCTCACATGCTCAAGTTGATGGACCTATTCAGGACTCAGAGACACTGACGTCAAATATAAGGCAGGATGTGAATGTCACTGTGTCTATTTTTAAAAAGACTTATTTAATATTTCATGTGGATGAATGTCTTGCATGTGTGTATGTATGCGTACCATGTGCATACATGCCTGGTGTCGGCAGAGGTCAGAAGAGGGCTTTGGGTCTTCTGAACTGGAATTATAGATGGTTGTGAACCACAGTAGGAAGTGAACTTGGCTCGTCTGCAGGAACAGTAAGTGCTCTGAACTGCTAAACCATCTCTCCAGCCCTCCTTAAAAGAGGGCTTATTTGAGGGAGACATGGTGGAACAGGCTTCAGCATGTGGGAGTTAGTGGTAGAAAGATTAAGAATAATCTTAATCAGGAGCTCAAGATTATTCTTGGCTATACAGTGAGTTCAAGGCCAGTCTGGGCTACATAAGACTTCATCTCAAAAAAATAAATAGGTGCTAGAGAGATGGCTCAACAGTTAAGAGCACTTGTTGCTCTTGCAGAAGATGCTGGTTCAATTCCCAGCATCTACGCAGTAGGTCTTAACTGTTTGTAACTCCAGTTCTTGAGGATCTGATGTCTAGTCTTCACAGGTACACACATGGTGCACAGACATTCAGGCTAAATGCTCACACACATGAAATAAAACAAACCTTCAAAAACCTTTAAAAATAAATAGATAAAACAAAAAGGAATTATTTAGTATTTGCCTTAACTGTTTGTTTTTCCTTTGCATTTGGTTTTGATTTTAAGACAAATCTCACTGTGGGCCACTATGCTGTGCTCAAGGGTTTTATATGGAGGCCAGGACCATACTGAGTAAGAAAAGGAAAAGTGAGGTGAGGAAATAAGAGGATCTTTAAATTGGCTGTGATGGCACACACTTGTAATCCCAAAGCTTGGTGGACAGAGATGGGGGAACATGAGTTCAAGGCCAACCTGAGCCCCTGTATGAGAAAAAATGTATATTTTTATTGTACAAGGAAGCATCTTGGGCCAGAGATATTAATCTCATTATCTTTTGTGTGCATATGTGTATGTGTGTGTATGTTTGTGTGTATGTCTGTTCATGTGTATGGAGGCAGAGGTAGATGTTAGGACCCAGAGAATGTCATTTTCCAGATAAGAGAGAAAGCCACTTCTGAGAAAGGGTCTGGAAATGAGACAATGTAACAATCACTCCAGAGGAACTACCCAGACACACTGGCAGCCCCTGGCACATCCATCTCAGCCAGAATCTTACAGAGTTGTCAGGGGTGGTCTAGCCTGGCACCGGGAGGTCATAAGTAGAGTTTACGAGCTAGGCAATTTTTCGGTTCTCTGGGTTTCTGGGATGCATGGCGATTTGCGGATGATGCTTTTCAGTCCTCAGCTGAGCCCTTCACAGGCTCCCTCTGCTGGCTCCGCTGTAACAGTCTGTTTTCCATTTTGAAGTTCAAACCGGAAACCAGATGGACGACGTGTCGAGAAGACTGACAGCTGAGGGGAAGGACATAGATGATCTTAAGAAAATCAACAGCATGATTGTAAAGCGGCTCAACCAACTGGACTCGGAACAGAACTAAAGGGATTTTTTCCCCCTCAAGAGTGGGCACGGATACCTGGAGCTTCCCACTTGCCTCAATGTCAAGGACTGAGCAAGTGGACTTCTTCAGACAGCAGATCTGATCTGTTACACCGGCTGGTTCATCATTCCCAAGGATGGGAATGGCTCCTAATCAAGGCGTTTAGAGATGGCAGCCAGGAAAGGGTGAACTTGGTTCAGGCTCATTTTTGTTAACTGGTTGCTTCAGCTTTGGTGGGGTTAGGGTGGTGGGCAGTTTGCATGGAGAAGAATCGGTAGCAAGAGCTCTTTAATGCAACTACTTATAGAAACTGAGCTTGGTATAGAAGACTTCCAGTGTTCTAGTGCGGTCTGTGATGTCTCAGGCGCCTGTGCGGATTCCTGCATCGGCCTGCGGAGAACCAGGCAGTCCCTCTTTTCAGTAGCATACATTCTTCCGTTCGGGTGACACACTCTGACAACAGCTTTGCTGTTGTCTGCTGATCGCTGGAGAAAACATGGGTAGTGACGTGTGTGTGGTGACGCTGAGGGACAAAAGAGAAAGCCTAGACTGTTGTCTGAGCTCCTGCTTTGTGAAAATCATCGGACTCTAGAGACACTCACATGCACACATAGGAAAAGGCAATCATGTCTATTTATGTATAATTTATAAGCCTGCTGGCTTTGTCATGGAAAAAAAAAAACTCCTTGGCACCTTGCTCATGACTTTGGAAGAAACTGGCTAGGTTTGTGGTCTTTGCTAAATTAGAGTAGAAAATTGTGCACTTGGAAGCTTTCTTGTTTTAGTACATAAGAATAAGGTATGCTGTATATGACAAAATGAGGCAAAATAAGTGAGTTTGAAAGCATGAGTTTTTATTTAATTAAAATACACTGTTGTGAGTCAGTTGAAGAAGGTATTGCAATTTTTTTTTGTCATTTTGGTTTATTCAAAACATTTGAGTTTACTTGAAAATGAAGCAGATGCAAAAACACATTTTGAATAAAAGTAGATGATGGAATAAACATGAAAAATTACTTTTATTACTTTTAAATTTTGTACTAAAATATTTATATTGCATACTTTTTCTTAAAATTGATCAATATCATGCAGAACATTAAAAATATAAAATTTTGATGTGGGTGGTGGTGGTGGCGGCGGCGGCGGCGGCGGCGGCGGCGGCGGCGCACGCCTTTAATCCCAGCACTTGGAAGGCAGAGGCAGGTGGATCTCTGTGAATTCTAGGCTAACCTGGTCTACAGAGCGAGTTCCAGGACAGCCAGGGATACACAGAGAAACCCTGTCTCAAAAAAACCCATATACATACACACACACACATAAAATTTATGTTTACTGAATTTTTTTTTGTCTTTTTGTTTTTTTCGAGACAGGGTTTCTCTGTGTAGCTTTGTGCTTTTCCTGGAACTCACTCTGTAGCTCAGGCTGGCCTCAAACTCACAGAGATCCACCTGTCTCTGCCTCCCTTGTGCTGGAATTAAAGGCGTGCGCCACCACCGCCCGGCCTTACTGGAACAATTTTATTGACCTATTATAGCAAAGTCTTTGTCATAAGGATTTATTGTAAAATCATTTCAGAAACCAGAAGACCTGATGGAACAGTCTGAGAATGCTCACATCTTCCTGCTTACTCTTGCGCCTTTTCCTTTCTACTCATGCAGTGAACATTTTTATGCTCAGTAATAAACAATCTTTATTACAAAACATTGTGCACTTTACAATGTAAGGCATTTAAAAATCGTTTAAAAAACCTATGGGTTCTGGGGATCAAACTCATGCTCACAAGGAAGCACTTTACTGACTGAGCCATAGCTCCAGCCCCCGAAAATCATTTTATTCTTCTTTTCAGTCCTGCTTGTATTGTTTGGATGGAAGGATGGTGACCCCTCTGGCATTCACAGTCTGAAAACTATCACAGCTTGAAGCACTGTGCTCACAAATTAAGAACTTGTATTGACCTTTTATTAAAAGTTTTGGTGGGGCCGGTGAGGTAGCTCGGCAGGTAAAGGCACTGGCCAAGCCGGATGACCTGAATTCAATCTCCAGAACTCAAATGATGGAAAGTCAGAGAACTGACTCCTACAAGTTGTCCTCTGACTTCCACGGGCTCATGTGTGCATAGGTAGACAGACAGACATGCATGTACACACACACACACACACACACACACACACACACACACACACACTATAACTTTAAAAAATGTATCAGCTGGTCACATGGAGTCTGACTGCCACAGAACCCAGCAGATAAGGACACAGGGCTGGCGATCTAACTCACTGATTCAATCCTGGTGTCACTACTGACTGTGACCTTGGGAAAGCAATTAGCAAAATTGGATACCTATACAGCTTATTTCATAGTATTATCATGAGGCTGAAGAGAGGTGACAGATATGGAGGAATTAAAAGCGTTTGAAACAGAGTAAGCACTCAATGAATGCTAGTTAGTGTTGCAGTTATTATTGTTAAAGTAATGGCATGGCATTATGGAAATCAACTGATGTGTTTAAACCTCTATTGGTGAAAACCTAATTACTTTCGAATGCTATTTAAGATCATAGCATCAGATGTACGATGCAAAGGACTATTTCAGGAGGTGACTGGTGCAGGAGGGTTTCTTGTTTCTCGAGCTATTTAGTCTGGAGACCATTGGGGTCTGTGGTGGCCTGCCTGAGATGGACTCAAGATCTTTCCCACTGGACTCAAAAATGACTCGACCACAGGTGTGGTGGGAGGAAGCAGCCAGAGAATTAAAGGCAGAAGAGTAGAAGAGAAATAGAAGGACTGGTGGCAGGTCTTGATGGGAAAAGAAGGGAAATCTTACTATTCTTCCATGCCGTTATGTGCCCTTCTGATGTCCTCCTTTTCCAGCTGTGATCGGAAGATGACACGTGTCTTCTGACACCAGCTCCTGTGACATGCACTTTATCTTTGGCCATGAGGAGCCTGGCAGGGCCCTCTTTCAGACCTTGCCATGGCAACAGTAAGCCTGGCCCTGCCCAGGCTCACCGTGATCTGTGTGACACCTGAGACCGCTGGGGTGTGGGGCTACCTACCTCTAACTGAGAGGGCTATGTAGCCAGAACTGTTGGTGGTGGTTGCCAGTCTCCAAAGCATCTTTTATTAAAACAATTGAGAGGGCCAGGAAAATACCATGACAGCCTGCCCTAATGACTCAGTCAAGAGCTAACCTTGGTCCCTGCTTTTTGGAACTGAGCAAACAGTTTCTGAGGAAGAGCCACCAACAAAGGACAATCAATCTCCAACACCCCTGACAGCAAGGAGGAGGAGGCCTGGTGGCCTAAGCCGTAAACAGCTCAAGGCGATAACCAAATAAGGATAAAGCCTGGGACTTGTGCAGGCCTGCCCCCAAATGGAAAACTATAACCCTGACCAGCCCTGACTATCCCTGGCCGATTAGAACATGTTAGCACTTAGGCATCTGTACTGGTCTGTCCTGACAGGATATATCCTCAGCTGCAGCCGCTAAGAGCACCCCTGTACACTTTCCCTACATTTACTTATAAAAGGCGGGCCTTGCTCACCTCCCATCTCTTTGTTCCTTCACTCTCATCCCCAGGGACTGGTCTCTGCCCCTTCTTTCCCCTCCCCTCAATAAACCTCCCATCTGGGCCCTCTTGTATGGAGTGACTCCTTCCCACCATTTTTAAAATACAACAGAACATACTAATACGATCGCCACTCGCTTGAGCCAATCATATCTAAAGTGACCTAACTGCCCTAGGTCCTCCTCTTGGCTGTGCTCACACATCCCTCTGGAGTCTCCACCATCTTGCCTTCATATGGGATGGACAGCCCCAGTATATTGGATTAATAAACACTCTTGCTAATTGCATACATGGATGATGGTCTTTTATGGGACTTTTCCAGGACCCTAACACAAACAAACAAACAAGCAAACAAACAAACAAACAAACAAACAAAAAACAACAATAACAAAGATAAGCAGGTATAAAAGGAACACAAATCTTGGGCTGGAGCCATGGCTCAGCAGTTAAGAGTAGTGACTGTTCTTCTAGAGGACCAACGTTTGATTCCCAGTACCCATATGGAGGCTCACAACCATCTGTAACTCCAACCCAGGAGATCTGATGTCCTCTTCTGGCTTCTGCAGGCACAGGACACACAAGGTACATAGATCTACATGCAGGCAAAATACCCACATACATAAAATAAAAATAAACCATTTTAAAAGAAATGTGATCACAATATAAAAGTGGTAATTGGTTAACTGAAGCCAGTGATAGCCATACATTGTGAATTGAGGCAAGGAAGCATTCAAGTTGAAAAATAAAACCCCGGGAGGCAGAGCCAGGCGGATCTCTGTGAGTTCAAGGCCAGCCTGGGCTACCAAGTGAGTTCCAGGAAAGGCGCAAAGCTACACAGAGAAACCCTGCCTCGAAAAACCAGAAAAAAAAAAAAAAGGAAAAGGAAAAAAAAAGAAAAAGAAAACCCAACATGTTGAAGATAGCAAAGAAGGGCTGAGTAGTTAGAAAGGGCAACTTTCAGAGTAGGGACTGTCTTGCATTCAGTTCAGTTTTTTCCCTTTCTTTTTAGTATGTATGCATGAGTATTCATATGTATGCATTTCTGTATGTGTGTCTGCAGAATGGAAGTGAACCTCAGGTGTTCACTCCTGCCTACCCTGCCCCGCCCTGCTCACCACACCCAGAGGCTACTGGGGTGTGGGGCTACCTGTAGACCCTGCCTACCTAGGGTCTCTCAATGGTCTGGAGCTCACCATGTAGGCTTGGCTGATGGGCCAGTGAGTTCCAGGGATCTTCCTGTATCTCCATCCACAACGCTAGGATTGCAGGTATGCCACGTGCCCAGGTTGTTTGCATAGGGTCTTGATTTTGAACCCAGGGCCGCATGTTTGCATGGCAAGTGCTTTTCGGACTGAGCTAGCTCCTCAGTCCTTTATTCGGTTTTCTAAAATAATTTTTAAAAATGCCTAGGGACCTTTCTGTAGACACTTGCTTTTTGGTCAGCTGTATGAAGAGGATGAAGGCAAATCAGGGTAGACAAAGCAGCTGTATCACAAAATATAGAGCCGACCTGTAAGTATTTGGTATCTTTCTAGATGGAGGAAGACAGAACTATTTCACGGTATGAAGAATGAATGGGGCTGTGTCTTAGTTACTGCTCTATTACTGTGAGGAGATACCATGGCCATAGCAACATATAAAAGACAGCATTTAATGGATGGTTTACTTACAGTTTTAGAGTGAGTCCAGATCATCATGGTGCTTGCTGAGCAGTCCAGCATGGTGCTGGAGCAGTAGCTGAGCATTTACATCCTGATCCACAGGCAGCAGGAAGAGAGAGACAAACGTGGGTCTGGCATGGGCTTCTGAAAGCCCACCTCAGTGATGCTCTTCCTCTAAGGCCTCACTCACTCCAACAAGGCCACCTCCTAATCCTTCTAACCGTTCGCGAATACTTCCACTCCATGGCAGATAAAGATTCAAATATATGAGCCTATGGGGCCATTTCTCATTCAAATCACACAGGCTGCCAGGAGCACAGGTTTGAATTTAGAGGATGGAAGTTGTGGTCCTCATTCTTCTTTATGTCTTGAGCTCTCTGGCTCTGCAAGCTCCCTTTTAGATTTTGAAGCGTGCTTCATTACTATTCATGCATGGATCCTCAAGGAAATGGATTGTGTAAGTTTATCCCAACAGGACCATTCTTTCTGAATGCGATGCATCACTTCTACAGGGCAATTACTGTCTAATGAGCAGACAGAGGTGACCAAAAAAATTGAAAAAAAAAAAAAGATTATGACTCCTCAACTGTTAAAAATGTCAACTTTTCATGCCCTAAAATGATTTTTAAAATATTGCTAGAAACAGACTAAATTAATTTGATACTGATATATTGGGGTCAATTTCTGACTTACTGTGTACCTCTGTCTAGGGGCTCAGAAACTGTTTTTTACATACTCAGGAAAAAAATGGTGGAAATGACATAGGCAACC